CCGGGCGTTGAGCGGTCAAACTCGGTACCACAGAAGAGCAGAGATCGGAGAAATGGTTGGACCAGCAACAATGGCTTATGTACGTACATCACTAGCCCCGCTTCGCGCCCGCACGCTAACACTAATACCATCTGGCGTCGCTGAATAGCGATCTTGCAGGTGATATCCGGCGGCCGTGGCCTCCGTGGACGCGTAGAAGCGCAGTGCAGTAGTGCAGATAGACTCGCTCGGATCGGGTGACAGCACATCCGAGCGGGCCCCTGTGGGGAAAGGCAGACCTTCGTACATCGCTCCATTTCCATCACTTTCCTGCTTCGACAGATGACCATGTCTCAATATGTTCAAGTACCTATCAGACACGCTCCTCTGCCCAGATCGTCCTACTCTTGCGTCATTTGCATGGCTGAGCAGAGATATGCTCCTGGTCGGCGCGTTCCACGGACTCGGACGAATGCATCGAAGATTAAAGCGCCCGTAGTGTTCTGATCTCCACATTCCGAAAGTATTAACAGTATATATCCGGAGTCTTCTAAGTTAAAGCTTTAATAGAAGACTATGCAGTCCTCTACTTAATCAAGATCTGTACCTGTCGAACGTGTAAGCTCAGTTGAACCACTAGAAAGATGTCGCCTCAGCGAGTCGTTGTGGCAGCTCTCTTAGTGGTATCGGCATACATCATCAAGGTACTATACTCACAACAGACTCCTTTACGTCAAGGCTAATAATGCAAAGCTCGTGTGGGTAGGGTATACATCTCCGCTGGCAAAGCTACCAGGGCCCTGGTACTCCAAGTACACGAATCTTGTCCTTCGTTACCAGACTCTTTCTGGCAAGCGGATCTTCTACGTAGACAAGCTTCACCAGCGCTATGGCGGCATCGTTCGAATTGCGCCAAACGAGGCCGCTGTTACGGATATAGCCGGTGTAACTCAAATACACAAAATTAGTACTGGGTTCCTCAAGTCGGACTTCTACACGGGTCTCACGTCAACTGATACTCCCGGCATATTCGCTATGCGCGACCCGCATGCCCATGCCGCTAGAAGAAAGCTGTTTGCCCGAGCCTTTAGTAACAGCAGCTTGAACAGCAACTGGGACGTTGAAGTTAGACAGAAGGCAAGCTTAGCTGTCCAAAAGATTCGGCGCGATGCATTGGGTTCATCACAGGGCGCCGATCTCCTCAAATGGTGGACACTTATGACGACTGACGTAATTGCTCACCTTAGCTTTGGGGAAAGCTTCAACATGCTTGAGCTGGGGAAGGTATGTTATTGAGCCTTCTTCGGTCTTACTATCTAGTAGTTCTCTAACCAACAAGGCAGCAAACATCATACATTGATTCTATCCAGGCTGCACTTCTTGGCGGAGTGTTACGTGCCGAGCTGCCTATCTTATACAAGCTCCTCCGCTATATCCCCATCAAAAGGATCCAACTCATCACTACGGCTGATGATGTCTTATTTGAATACGGTGGACGGGCGATACAGAACATGCGCAACGAGAACGGCAATACCATGAATCTCTTTGGTCAGATGCTATCTGCTAACGATAACAGCGAAAAGGTTGCACTGACGGAAAAGGACATTAAGGAAGAAGCTGGGAACTTCATTGTGGCAGGCTCGGACACTACCGCGGTGACACTGACCTATCTCGTCTGGGCGGTACTTCAGCAGCCCAATCTGCAGTCTCGACTTGAGAACGAGATCGCAGAACTGAGCGACAAGCTGACAAAGGAAGAGCTTGAAACTGCGCCTGTGCTGAACAGCGTCATCGAGGAGACGCTAAGGCTTTACGGCGCTGCTCCTGGCGCCTTACCTCGGACTGTGCCTAAGCAAGGCACGATTATAAGCGGCTATCACATTCCCGGCGGTGCAGTAGTTAGTACACAGGCTTATACAAATCACCGCGACCCTTCGGCCTTTGCTAATCCACTCAAATTTGATGGCCTTCGGTTCTTGAACAAGACTACAATGTCAGCACATCAGAAGGCATCATACATGCCATTCGGAGGTGGCTCAAGAGTGTGTCTCGGCGTTCATCTTGCATACATGGAGCTTCGCCTGGCGGCTGCGCTCTTCTTTCGACATTGTCGTGGCGCCAGAATTTCCAACTGCATGAACGATAAAATGATGGAGATGGACAACAGGTTCTTAGTGTCTCCTAAAGGTCACTGCTGTTATGTCACTATGAGATGATAGACCTCAACTCCGTTAGCCTAGTTACGTACTGTGGTGGTTACGAAGCTGCAAGGTGTTCGCCAGAAATATTGCTTCTTAGTCGTGTGCAATAATGAAAGAAAGTACACAGGAAGACTACTATCGTAATGTGCAATGTACTATCATATTTCGCGATATATCTATTAGTATGAACAAGTCATCGCTTCACAAGTTCGTTCCGCTCTGATATTCACAAGCTTGTCCTCTGGATACAAATTGTCCCACTGTTCTACTAGCTCAAGCGCTAGATGACGACAACCTGTGTTTAGTAGACCACAGGATACGACCCTAGAAAGCTTTCTTGCAGTGACGCCTTCGCGAGAAAGACTAAATCGGATGAACTCTTCCAAAGCCGCACTCCTAGAGGCTTACCTGAGTATTTTGTGTTTCTTAGTAGGTGGCTCGTATAATACCACATCTTCGTCCCTCTCATCTAGGGAGCCACCTGACTATGCCTAGAACGGAGGGCGAAGGGCTACAGTCTTGAGTGCGAAGCAAGCTATATTCTAGTCGACTATACTAGTCGTCTTCACAGTCGCTAGGCTTGTGATATTACAGTGCTTAGCGAATGCGGCTTCCCCTCGAACATTGTTGCTACAAAGTTTGCGCCGCACGGCAAGCAGGGACTATGTCGCCTCATTCCACTAATCGAGCCTCGCGTTAGACCGTCTGCAGCAAGTAGCAAACACAGAGCTTTATCACGTTACTCAGCAAAGCGTAGGGCATGCATGAACTAGCAAGAGACCCCAAAGAGCGTACGCCCGCAGATATACAAATCGAAAAGTCTATAAACCGCGTTAGATGCAGAGCTGAAACCTGCAACGTACACACCGCGCATTAAAACTATCGCCAGATCATCACTTAAAAAGTCAAACGATGTTATGTACTACGGATAAGATGCCCGTCCACCAGACCCATCCCACCCACCTCATTGGCCCCGGAGCACTTCCCTCAGCAACCTACACCCATCTTCCTTCTTATGAAACCTACCTTTCTAGGCGATTTCGGTGAATAGCTCTATTGGAAGGATTCGTTAAGAGGGCGCTTTGGGAGCAAAGTTGGTATGGGGTTAGGATGTTCGGAGACTTTGACCGAAGCAAAGCTGTGGATCGGGTAATTTACGGGTACCAAGAACGTGGATAGAAGGCTTGGCGGAGCTAGACTGCATAGGGCGGGTCACGTGCGATAGATGGCCAGTGCTGAAAAACATCAAATGTGTTCAAAATGCAATTGGTGTATGAATAATTCTACTTATATAGACGATAGCAGCTATATGCGATAATGAAGCCGTTGATGCAGCGGTGTCATGTTGCCTAGAAACGCCTCAACGCCTAGTGAACTGTGCTGGGCCGGAGAGCCGAAGGATGTGATGATGCGAACGCATAAACTACCGATGATATGCTAGGGAGGGGTACCCTACTATAAGAGAATGAAGAAGATGCGAAGAGCGAGAAAAAGAAAGTATCGCAACATAACGTGTGATAATGCAGCAGAGGGTTGTCCAACGTTAGCCCTGCTCGACATGCGGTGGCCATGTACACGCCCTTAAGCGCGAGATGCTATGCTCATGAAAAGTCAGGCCTGCACATCACCGGCGCGAGCGCCTTTGTCGACCACTCGACTCGCCACTCCTATGACCCTGTCTAGCTGAAGTCTGTGAAGGCACAGGTCTGACAGCAGGCCTCTATCGTGGTCATAGAGGTACTGAGAGCTCACGTGCGAGCTGTTGTGTGTTCGCATCGTAGCCCTAGCTGAGTAAACGGGCGTTGGGGAGGTCATGCGGGAGGAGGTCGCGCAGCCAGTTGGCGCCGCCGCTCATTGTCTATGTCTTCTCGCAGTGTCCGTCTAGGCTATAGACGGCGACGATACTGTAGTCTTGTTAACTGTGGACGCGCAAACGAGCAACAAGAAGCATACTTAACGGTTGGGTTGGTGCCTTCTGCTATCACTTGTAAGTCGTATGCAACTGCGGCAGATAGCTTTGCTGATGCTAAGGATGTTAAGGATGTTGAGAGTTCTGCAGGAGCCTGCCTGTGTGTTAGTGCGTACGAAAGAGAAGAGTGTCTGGCAGACATGCCTCTGCCTTGCTCTTCTTCGAGTGGAAGTTCGGAAGCCGTCGCATCGCGTTATCTTAGGTCAGCGCCAAAGGGTGCGTGGTGTAGGACGAAGGATGTGCAGTAGCATCGTGCGCGAGGGCTGTAGCGAGGCTGAGCTGCACAGTGACTGCGGCATGCTAGCGGTCAAGGCGATGGAGGGTCCCTGGCTGCTGTTGTCGTTGGTTGTTCGTTGTTCAGCCCGCTCAGCTCGCTCAGCCCACGCAGCTTGCCAACCCCGCTGAACAGCGCTTAGTGAGCTGCCGCAGGCCAACTGTCGAGGCACGTCCGAAACACCACGCAGTCGCAATACGACTGCCGTATAGCCATGCCTGTTCCACGCACTGCGAAGACTAACTGCACCAAACAGTCACCTCAAGTTTCCGTTTCCGCTCGAGTGGATGTCCGGATTGGCACCCGAAGTGAGCCGTGGCCTGTGGCAAGGTTTACGGCGTAACGCTATCCCGAATTCGCCTAGTAAGCCAATTTACCCCTGTCTACCGTGTGGCGCAAACTTAGTTGTAATCGCGTTCGAGGGGAAGCCGCATTCGCTAAGCACTGTAAGCATGGAAGGGTTTCATTGTTTCTCTCGTTGTGGTCAACTCAAATAGTTTATCTGTCGCACGGTTAGGTGCGGGTATTGTAGACAGAGAAACTAGGAGAGAGTGTATGTTGTATTGATTGTAGCATTCTAGCTAAGCTTATATAAAGGCCGTCGCACAGCGTTATTAGTAATAAGGTTCTAGACAGCGCTTGGCCTGCGACATCATCTCTTACCTAGATTGTCAACTAGTTATTCTATCGTTATAGAATAGGATTGTCTTTATCACCGGTTAACTGCGATAACTCTTTTCCACTACAAATCGCCAGACAAACCTCACGGGCTACTGTTACGAACAAACACCAGATGTCTCCTCTGGTCGAAGGTGCGAGGTTGAAGGCCAACCGTCGCACGATGGAGAGGTCATGATCGACGCGGGGCGCGCAGATCACGTGACTTGGCATCCCGCCAAGACCCAACATCGGGAGATGCCAGGACCTCGGCCGATGTTGGACATCAGGAATGTCAGCGACATCTGAGATGCCACAGGCTTGGCCTGAGGCAATGGACAAAGCAACGAGTATATAGTTGTGGAGGATTCCCTTGATACATTCGTTGTGGTCAACTCTCTCATAAGTTCTTCTCTTACCCAGATTGATACTTAGTTATTCTATCGCTTATATACAGACTTGTCAACAATCAATCGATCGACATGATTAATTCCTATATAGGTTAAAGAATTACTTCATTAGGCAGCCTTTAACCTAGATAGGAATTAATTATGCCGATCTGATTGATTGTTGACAAGTCTGCTTATATAGAATTGGATTGTTATTACCAAATACCTACTATCGCCATTGTGTCGCCAGACAAGCCAACGCGGGCTCAACAACGTTAGTCTCACCTGCCTTAGTGCGGACCAGGATTACAGAGCAGTATACCCCCCCGTGTTAACAGCTACCGCTTTAGTCTACCTCGCCTTAGTACGGACCGAGCCTAGAGAAGTATAGCCAGACCCCGTGTAACATTAGTTAGCCATCTCACGTACGTAGCTAAGCGTAGGGGCAAAGACTCGCGTGTCAAGCTTCTTTATATATTTTATAATCGTGTTCTCTTCGTCCCTCTTTAGCCTTAACGTCTTAGGATAGGAATCGCGTCGTAAGGTAGTTTTGGCGCATCGGTCACCAAGGGTGCTTTAGGGAACGTTGTAGACGACAGCAGCACGTCGCTGGCTTAGAGACGCGTCAGATCTCACAGCTTAGATAGCTTAGATAACCCTGTGTTCACGAGAGAGCAATTCAAGATCAGGTTGTTGAGACATTGTGATAGGTGGTAGAAAGTGGTGTGGTCTTGGCAAAGTGTCCGACTCGGTTGCCCGGCCGGTTCGGTTGCCGCTCACGTTATACCTATATTCCAAACCCTATCTTATTCTCTTTATTCCCTCGCCTCCTCTGGTTTTCCTTTAGCAGCAAAACACTACTTGCTGCTACTAACCTACTCACTAAGCCTTCTGCGCCCGTCTCCTAACAATAGCATTAAAGCTCGGCTTCGCAAACCACCTTGTCCTCCACGTATATTTCTCACCGTTCGCATCCGACAGGATCTCAAAATCGTACTTTCTAACAATCTGCGGAATTACCTTGCTCATTTCCAACAGACTGATATTCTTGCCGATACACGTCCGTGGCCCAGCGCCAAAAGCTAAGAAGTTGCGGTCTAGCACCGCGCGCTCCTCTTTGTTTTTCGTGATCCAGCGCTCAGGACGGAAGATGTGCGCGTCAGGCCCAAAGATGGTCCTGTTGTTGTGGATTACCCATGCGTTGACGCCGACTTCGGTGCCAGGTGGGAAGAATTGGCCTGCGACTACGAGGCCCTGGGGACCGACGACGCGAGTCATTGGCGCACCAACGGCGGGATGGACACGCAAGGCTTCCATAATTACGGCTTGGAGATAGGGAAGTTTTTGAGCTTCTTGGAAGGTCGCTGGGTCCGAGAGGGTACCGGCTGCTGTGGCTTCGTCGAGTTCGTGGCGAAGAACGGCGAGCGTGTTAGGGTGCATCGCCAGGTATGCGATAATAGCAGAGAGTGAGATGGCGGTTGTGTCTGATCCCGCTGCAATGTTCTGAGAGGCGACCTGGCGAGTATGGAAGCGTGTCGCCTTGCCTTCCCGTTCCATGGGCAACATCTTATCAAGGAAGTCACTGCGGTCTTCGGGCGACTTGGTGCGTCCTGAGACGCGACTATCAACGTGAAGATTCACAAAGTTGAGAATCTTCCTGAAGCCGGGTTCGAGTCGGAGCTTATCCATCGTCATACCGATCCACCAGTGCCATTCAGGAATCAGGCCTATGATCGCTGCGTAAGTCATACTCTCGTCGATAGCCTCGACAATTCCAGACTTGTCGCCACCATCTTCCATCAACCCAAATCGCGACCCAACTGTGATTTCGCCGATGACGTCGAAAGCGTAGTATTGCATGAGATTCCTGACATTAAGAGCCTTGCCATTTCGAGCATACTCCTCTAGTCTCTTCAGCAAGATTGTGTTACAAGTTTCAACAAAAGGCTCGTAAGAGAGGAGGGTCGTTTGCGAATATAGCTGCGCAATTGGACGTCTGACATTGGCATGAACGGATATGCTCGGCTCGGAGAAGAGGTTGTACTCCTCCGGTTGGCCGAACGGATGGTAGAATTGTGACTTGTCCATGGCGTTGTGGTGTCCGAGGATCACCTTCGCGGCTTCGCCATCATTTATGCTGTACCGATTTGGTGCAAGACGTACGATAGGACCTGTGTCTGTTAGTGCTGTTTTCTCCCGGCTTTTTTTGGTCAAGATGATACCAAAATTGACCTTGGTGTGACCTTACCATATTTCTCATGCAGTGCAATGTTGTATGTTGGATTATCGTATTTGCACACAGCCTTGATCTCCCAAAGTCGTGTGAAGCGAGCGAGGAAGGGGCCAGGCACAGTTCGAAGGGGCGAAGCCAAGATCTGCCAGACATACTTGATGACAACGAAGACAAGCAGCGCAACGAGACCGTAGATGTAGTATCGCCCGTGCGAGCTCTCGCCGACCAATTGTTGCGTGTAGCGAAGATTTGCCATGATCGTTTTCGAGGTAGAGCCACCTAGGTACTCTCGTGATGATACCGATCCGGCTTGAAAGCATCTTTATACATTACTTAGATACATGGTTTCGTCGGTAACTAACCACGGCGACCACCGATCGTACAATATGCGGAGTAGGGCCGATGGACGTCATACATAATGACCAGAACAATGCGGTCCACTGCCAGTCTGCAGCGACTCCCCATGTTCACTCGTCCAATGACAATCATTCCACTCTGAGCTTCGGCCGAGTCTCCGGACAAACTAAGGACAGATCTCAAAAGTGGAGAACACCCGGCATTTGGAAGTTCCCAGATGCGTAACCGCGTTTCCCGCATGCGCTCCACGGCCCTTAAGCCTGTATCCTCCCGAAGCGACGGAGACCGTGGAGGCCGTAGATGGCTGGAAGGTGAGTGAGTTTGTCGTTCTGGTTTTGATGGAGGATTGTGTCAATGGAGGTGGTATGGGAAAGTCATGGTTCTCGTATTCGTGTGGGAACTACAGGTCTATATAGTAGCAGGTGAGTGCCAGGCAGACATGAGCTAGGCCTAATCAGGCAATTGGCAATGGTTGAACTATCACTCAGGCCTACGGCTCTGACAGATTGCACGGATCGTAGGTGATGTTTGTCAGGTTGCTGATGAACTCGCCAACGTACGGTGTGATGATGTAGTCCTCCATTCGTTAAATCTCATTATACTCGTTCATGTCTATTACCGGTGATTGTTACATCCGCTACAACTGTAGAAGCAGGGAAGACAACTCTACGGTTGAGTGTTGCGGACGACCCCACAAAAACCGGCCCGAATGGCGTGGCCCAATCGTTGTACGATTCTAGCGCTTGCTACTTACGGACTAATGCTGTGGATAACGTTAAAACCTTTTCATATACGGGCTAGTCAGAATTTCCGTTCCTTTTCGTCCGCTGATTTACTTCCCCGCACGGAAGCCGCGCAACGTCTCCACTTGTTTTTAACTCTAGTAAAGAACAAGGCTTTAGTCATGGGCGGACGTATGCCGACGTATCCATAGTCGGCGTTCCTATAAAGCCGACTTGCCGTTGTCGTGTCTGTGCACGCAATGCCCGGATAGGAGTAATGCACACCCCACTTTTACACCTAACGTGAGCCACAAGCGAAACGCCCACACAAGCGAAACGCCCGCCCTACCAACGCTCTAAGTTTTAACACCTTATTACTTAACAACACAGCAGCCTACTGTGATGCGCAATATATAGAATTAATCGCTAATCTCAACTACATCTTTTCCGCAAGTACGCGAATTATGTCCTATCTCTCCGCAGCGCCTACAGTGCCTTTTGCGCTGCTTGCCTGCACCTATTCGGGCCCTACCTTCACGCGTTTCCCCCTCTACCTGCGCCCTAACGTCTAATTGGGACACTAAATCCTCTGCTTCTTCCTTTGATAGGTCTCCGCCCGCCTGAATCCGCTTTCTTTTACGCCATTCTTCTAGCACGTCAGCCTCCGACACTAAAAAGCGCATCGTTAGCTATGCTATCGCCCGTCCTGTTAGTGCTGTCAACCGACTCTCCTCTGACACTCCCCTGTTCGTTCGCGACGGTATGTGCCTGCGAAGAGTTCGGTGAGCTACAAAGCAAGCCGAGATAACAGAAATTACTACTACAGACTTATAAAGTTACCGTAAGAAGGAGAACGCGTTTCTCCACGCAAACAGTAAGATTGTCGGAATGCGTCGAACCGGAAAGACATTCCGCTCGATCTTCTAGAAGCAGCTTCGATGACAAGGAAGCAAAAGCCAATATCGAGACGTGCCATAGACAAGAAATCCTCTGCGGTCACGACCCAGATGTTTTTCGCCCCGAGCGCTGGCAGACTCTTTGCTGTGAAATGAGACAGGCCTGGTATGACAAGCAAGGAGGAACGCCGAAAGATTTGAAGGACAAGCTGAAGAGCGACGAGGAAAAGCTGGGACATATGCCCTTTGCATACTTCTGTGCGGCCGACCACCCAAACACCAAGGAGTTCGCTTCTAAGGTGATTGCACTACTAGCGGCTGTTCTTTGCAGTGGGCTGGGAGACGAGTGGGTCATGGAGGATATTGACAGCCTCCCTCCGTATGGCACACTGCTGAAGACCGATCGTGCGGAATACGAGGAGTTGAGGCTCATCAGAAACTGGATAGCTCAGGGTAGACTCCGCAACAATCAATTCAATCCGGTCACTCTCCTAGACCCACTTACCTATCTAGGTAGGGCTTAAACTCCTATAGGTAACTACTAGGCTTAAAGCGGTAATCAATCAATCCAATCTGAACCTTCTAGGACCCACTTAATTGATTGTTGCGGACTGTGGCTCAGGGGAGGTTTGATTTGAGAGAGAATAGGAGGAAGATTGATTGTGAGAGGTTAGACCCGGTGACATTGATGAAGTGCCTGTTTAATCGTTCTTGCGGTCCTGAGTGAAGAGCAAGAAAGGACTAGATTACTTGGAGTCGACTAGCTTAAGATCCTCCGCCAACGCTGCCTACCTTGCCTCCTGAAATCTGATGATGTTTCCTCCATGTGCGGTTTCGTTCATCTTCACTTGTGAATGGTTAACCACCCAGTCGGGCCTTACGACACTGGATTCACGCACATAACGTCAGACGTTTCTTGGTAAGCTAACACCAGACCTTGTTCATAGACGCATGCTCCGGCAACGGCCAAGACGTGCATGGTGTGGTGACTCGCACCTGGCACACCAATTTTCATCCCGATCGCTTTGTCCAATAGATGGGTTGCGTAGATGACGCCTCCCAATGTATTGATGATAACCAGCGTCCCAAAATCGGTCAGTAAGCCAGAGTACTGGCCAAGATGCCAGCAACGAAACGCAGGAAGAATTGCCAGGCTGCCTAAGGCTACATACGTGCTGATACGGCTGCGTCGCTCTGAGCAACTGTGCTGCGAATTACCCAAGAGGCGAACAGAACAAAGTGCAGCCGCTGCGGTTAGAAAAACCGTGTACACATACTGCTCGCCGGAATGACAGCTGAACGAGAGCGCTACGAAAGATATCGAGGAGGCCCAAATAGCACAGACAATTCCAAGGTGGTCGAGTCGTAGCCAAAAGTCCGCTTCAGCATGGTCTGCGAAGACGTGATAGAGCGTTGAGCACGCAAAGCAGAAGACGTTTGCTACAAGATACGCAAGAACTGCTGTGGCGCTCGGGGAGAATAGACTCGTGGCGGTGTCCGCAAAACGCGTTGCGCTGGCGCAGAACCATAGGGTGCCAAACAAATGTGACCATACGTTGACAGTCTCCGAATGAAGGTGTGGGATTGAGACAATAGATTTATAGTAGGAGGTGGTACACGTTCGACGTCTAATAAAACTCATGGTGGATTTAGAATGACGGAAAATGGCGCTGTTTTTGGGTGGAGAGCGAGGTGGGAAGAAATCTAAACTCCAGCCTTGCTATATAAGCAGGTGAAAGACCAACTTAGTCAACATTGTTACATCATTCCGTGATTGCGAGTAGTCTAGTTTATCCTTTCAAGGTTGCAGTAAAGTTAACCAAATACCATGCAGCTTTATCTGCTGCTGTACGTTGGTGTCACCACAAGCGTAAAGTTCCTTAGGGTGATATGCGGCTTAGCCAAAGAAAGCAAGCACGCACCACGCCTGCACAAACTAAGGCCATCCTAATAATGCACCTACCAACAAAAGAGATGCTACAGCGTTAGATGTTTAGTATTTAATGTGGCCTCAAGCTCGTGCTTCCTGCATCTACAGGCTTGAAATTAGATTTATCTAAGATCAACATGCGATACCAGGATTTGTTCATCCTAAGTGCGCTCTTAGGCAACGCTTTCGCGCAAACAACACTTCTGTTGCTCGAGAACAATCGGGTTGAGTAGGCAGGTTGTGCACCAAAGGTAGGATAGCAAAGCATGAGGCGAACGTGCCCACGACTAACGGCCATGTAAGCTTCAGTAATCGAAGCAACTTTTGACAGCGCTGCGCTAGCACAGTTCTTTAAGCGTTTCTGGCAACATAATACCTTTGCATCACCTATGTCTTTATCGTATATAGCTACTTTCACAAGCTTTAGATAGTAAAGTATACATCATTAGACTTGAACACACTATTTGCTTTGCACCGTACAGTTACATCATCAGCATGATAAATCCGAGGGACCCTATTCATCGAATACCCACGACTTTGCCTCATACGCGACGAATAGTTCACCTATAATAACATCTCTGTATGACTGTACAACAAATCTCCTACGCGTCTATCTTAATGAGATCAAACCTACGTACCTCTAAGTGTCACATCGCTAGTCTCCCATGAGCCGCAGCGAGCCCGCTCACCAGACCTCTTTTTACCCTAACTCCCTTCAATCCTAGCCTCTATCCTTATAGTCCTCACTTTATAATTGGTCCGGGAGCGGCACCCTCAGCATTCAACACCCTATCTTCCATGATCTCCTCAAACCTACCTTTCCAGGTACTTCGGCACAAAGTCCCATTCGAACGATACATAATGACATTCCCACTTGTTAGAGATGCGAATTGGGGAAGATGCTGAAGATGGGAAAGGTGTGTTCGGGAACTTTCACCGAAGTACTAAACGTGTTGGATACCGAGGTGGACGGTGCGACGATCGGGACGGCGCAACGATCGCTCCGAACACTAAAACAGCCCCACAACATTGAGGCTGTAGAGCCTCACACAATAGCTATCGTCGCGATATTTCTTGGTGGTGAGATCTATAGGGCTTCAGCTAGTTGAAGAGAGGCGTTTTGAAAGAGAGAGGCTTAAGAAGGTGCGGGAGAAGGAGCAGGCTGCAAAAGAGGCTAAAGAGGAGCGCTAGAAAGCCCTTCGCGACGCTCAAAAAGCTATACAACTGTCCCAAAAGGGTAAGCCTAAGGAATCAAAAGCCTCTAAGCCTCCCACAAAGCATCAGAAACGTGCTGTTGTTAGTACACCTCGTGTAGAAGCTGGTAGTGCTGCCATAGTAGTCCCAACGCAAAAGACTAAGACGCGATTGATCCGGATCGCCGATCGAGCCACCCCAACATCATAACATTGAAATCACTCCAATCTGAACGCGTGATAACTCCACCACCATGAATCCGATTCAAGAAGCGATTGAAGAAATCGAATCCCACGATGCTGGCGCATCTTTCTTGTACCGGCAAGTCGCGAAAAAAAATTCAATGTTGACCGAACGACGTTGTCGCGTCACCACCAAGGCATTCAGGGCTCAAATGAAGCGATGGGACGCTCGCAGCAGCTACTCAACCCACAACAAGAGGAGGAATTAGTGAAGTACATAGAAAGATGCACAAAGCGAGGCTTACCACCAACGCGTGAGATGATACAAAATTTCGGCAGCGCGGTGGCGAAATGGGACGTCTCTAGAAGCTGGGCTTCTCGCTTTCTGCATCGCCACGCTGACAAGATTACCACCAAATGGAGCGCAGGAATCGATCGCAACCGCCTCCAGGCTGACAGCGGCGATAAGTGCAAGCTCTACTTTGATTTGCTGCATGCGAAGATGCAGGAGTACAACGTTGAAGAGCGCGATATATACAATATGGATGAGAAAGGCTTCTTCGTCGGGCGCACGATTCGATCGAAAAGAATCTTTAGCAAGGCTTCTTTAGCTCAAAAAGAGCGCACCGCAGCGCTCCAAGATAGCAACAGAGAATGGGTAACGCTGCTGGCTTGCGTATGCACTTCTGGAGAGGCATTACCGCCCGCTCTTATATACCAGGGCACATCCGGGGTTCAATCGAGCTGGATTGACGACGACGAGGCCGAGCAACACCAGGTTTTCGTCTCCCACTCGCCTTCGGGATGGACGAACAATGATCTTGGGCTTGCCTGGCTCACCCAGGTGCTCAATCGCTATACTAAAGCAAAAGCGCGCCGTCGATGGCGTCTTCTGCTGCTCGACGGCCACGGCAGCCATGTAACAGCCGATTTTATCGACTTTTGCGACGCCAATCGTATCCTTTTAGCCCTCTTCCCCCCCCCCCCCCCCCCCCCATTCAACCCACAGTTTACAGTCGCTAGATGTGGTACTTTTCTCGCCGCTTTCGCGCAACTATACGACAGAACTCAACCGCAACTCGCAGCGATCGCAAGGGCTCACGAGCGTCACGAAACGCGACTTCTACAGCAACTTTTGGGCGACGTAGAGCTCTACAATGAGACCGGAGCTCATATTAAAGAGTTTTTCAGCTACAGGCGTGTGGCCAATGGATGCCGACGCAGTTCTAAAACGCTTCAACAACCACCCACTACAACAAGATAAAGACTCAGAAATTGGAGAGCTAGGTGATGGCGATAGCTAGAGGCAGCTGCGAAAAGTATTTGACGCTGCTGTCGCGGACAAGGCAAAAGTCGAGGCCAAACGGCTTGCGCAAAGCATACACTCGCTACAGGTCAACAACGAGCTCCTCCACGAGCGGGAAGAGGGCCTAGTACAAGCGCTCACTACCAAAAAGAAGCACAAGAACAAGCGCACAATCCTATCAGTAAGCGACGACGATACCGACGCTAGTGGTGCGGTTTTTTAAGTCCAAGAAGGCGCCGCAGAGCCCGCGAGCGCGAGGCAACGAAACGGGATGAAGCCGAGCAGCTACAACTCCAAAAAAACTCGCGATAGAGACTTAAAAGCGGCGGCAACGTTACACAAAAAGCAGCAGGCAGAGGAAGCAAAGGCAGCTTGAGCGCGCGCAAAAGAGGAGCGAGATCAGGCCAAAAAACAGCGGGCTGAGGAACTGGCTGCGCGCCGAGCGCTCAAAAAGCTGTAACAAGAAGCTGCAACCACCCAGAAATCTCACGATACAGGCAACAAGACTAAGCGAAAAGCCTCACACAAAGCCAACAAAAATCCAACAAAGCGTCGTCGTGTTGTAGGTGCAGCAAGTGGTGCTGACGCTGGTCAGCCGCCGGCGTCCCCCCCACCCAGAATTAGCGCGCGCGGCCGCCAAATCAAGACACCAGTAAAATTAAAATAGTACAAAAGATGCGCAAGGCTCTATATAGTAATACACCAGAAAATCTTGCGATAATAGCTTTTTTAGGTGGCTGTACAGCCTCATATTTACAATCGTCTCATATTGGTGAGGTGGCTCGAGTGCCGGACTGGCTTGGATGGCCCGCCACCACTGTAAAGGCTGCTGACGAAATCTAAAATTCTCAACCACTCTAATAACTGTCGCAATTGCTACGCCTAAAATTCTCGTGATAATAGCTGTTGTATGTGGCTTAACAGCTTCAACAACGTGGTGTTGAACATGGCAGTTCCGCCTTCGTTAGGTGAGGACGTGCGGCAGGTGGGGATCAACATTAGTGAAATATGTACTCTATCATGTACATGGTTAATTTACTCATTTTCTGGCAGGAAATTAGACTCTGCTCCTGGCTGTTTCGCGGTATGCTCTTGCGCCGAAGTCTGCTAGAGTCTGACTACGAATTGTGTCGGATATGAGCCCATGCCGCATGGATAATGACGTGCGTATTGTAGGAAACTCCAGGGCTGCTCGGCAATCCCACGGGTTCTCATCCGACGCCCCTCCCCACAATCTCAGGTCTTGCCGAACTTGAGCCAAATAGCGATTTCTCCCCCACCTTCGTGTCGGAAGCGTTCACGTCCACTTTCTCGTTTACCCACACCCTTCGTTGCCATGTCTTCCTTTCCGGCCCAGACTAGTCGTTCACAGGCTGGCCTATTTCAGTGTGGAACGTGCTCCCAGTCGTACTCTCGACTTGACCACCTGGCGCGTCACGTTCGCTCGCGTATGTGAATCTGGTCAGATTTCACGTTGTGTGCGATCACCGCGCTAACGTAGCATCGCAGACACGCAGGAGAAACCGTATCGTTGCAACACATGCGACAAGCAGTTCAGCAGAGTGTAGGCACTTTCCATCCGCTATCATTGCTACTACTCCTGCTTATTGAAGAGATAGCGATTTGTTGACAAGACATGCTCTGCTGCACACTACCGCCAAAAACGACGCACCGAACAAGCGCCGCCGGACAGGTACCACCTCGTCTGCACCTCTTCGTGTTTCCAAGGCTTGCGAGGCGTGTGTCGAGCAGCATCTCAAATGTGAAGATGAAAAACCCTGCAGACGATGTTTGAGTAAAGACATTGCTTGTGTCCTTGCTCCCAGATCGTTTGTGAATGAACCTAGAGAACTGGCCGCTTCATCCGTAGAACTGCAGCTACAAACGGAGTCCAATACAGGTCCGCAGGGTCAGCGGGATCCGCCGGCAACAATCAACGAAGGGTCTCTTACTCCAGGTCTGCCCTCAGATGATGAAAGCAATGTTTTTGACTCAGTGTTGGCGGACATGACGGGGAACCAAGCACCACCTCCACCACCTCCCCTTCCTTACCCTCCTCTTCCTCTTCCTCTTCCTCTTCCTTTCCTTCCTCCCTATCGAGGCGAGCAAGATCGAACCAATGTGAACAAGCCACAGTCACAACATAGGTCAGGTGATATGCCTGCAGTTATGGACTCCCTCTCAGTCGGACTATTCTCTACCGATCTGCCAAGTGGCACGCTTACGCCTAGTGGGCTGGTAGGCTGGGGTGGCGAAGCTGACCTCGATTTCAGTGCGATTGACCTCAGCTTTCTCAACACCTACAACACACGAGTGCCCTTTGAAATTGAGAACCCAGTCGGTCATATACCACCATCAAACGCCAATGCAACTAGTCAGGGCCCCTCAAGACAGGGCAAAGATATGGATACCAATTCCTCAAGTGGATCTCTTCAGCAGTTCATTTGGCGCTTTGTTCCAGTACCCGGAGTGCATGCATATTCGGAGCAGGCCGATCTCTCCTTACCCGCGCAAGATCGGATTGTCGGAACCCCGGAGAGCTTCGCAGACGTGAGCAGACGAGCAACAACCGAGAAACTGGACTCTGTAACCCGGGACAAAATTCTCGCCATACTCCTCAGTCAGGTCAAATCACATATTCTCCCGGCCTTATCTGCTTTTCCGTCAGTCATGCTGCTGGACAAGCTGATACAGTTTTTCCTGGCTGGCCCCATTCCCACAGCTAGCTCATGGATCCATACAGCCAGTTTCAGACCAAAGAAAGCTCGACCAGAGCTGCTCCTTGCCATGGCAGCTGCTGGTGCAGTCCTCACACCCGACCGATCCCTGCGGAAACTCGGATTTGCCATCCAAGAAGTAGTCCGCAATCACATACCCACGGTCTTCGAATCTGACAACACCCTAGTTCGCGACCTCGAAATGTCACAAGCCTTCATGCTACAGCTGGAGATTGGGCTCTGGAGCGGCAGCAGCCGGAAAACCGAAATCTCCGAAAGCTTTCAGCAGCCGCCATTGTCGATGCTGAGACGCGGGAGCCGCTTTAGAAAGTCTAATTACCCGATTCTGGTGTTTGAGGCTGAGGATGAGGGTCTTGTGCTTGAGAGGAAGTGGCGCTCTTGGGTTGAACAGGAGTCGTTTAAGAGGCTGGTATATCGCTTTTTGAGCCATAATACGCAGGCTTCAATTTCGCTGCTTATCAACCCTTCAATGTCTTACTCCGAGCTCGACCTTCCTTTGCCAGAATCACAAGAGCTGTGGTTGGCGGCTTCGGCAGCAGAATGGAAGTCGATATACCGGACGAAATTCGAAAACTGCACGACAGAAATCCCGTCTTTGACGGGATGCATCGCTACTCCAGATCTCCTGCAAGATAGTAAGACGGTTATTGATCTCCAGCTCTCATGCTCCTCTTTCTTGTACGCTATGTGGGGTATGGTATGGGAGTATCGAAAGCTGGCTCGGCTGTTCTATGCAAGACCGACCAACTCCAATTTGTGGGATAGTCGATTAGCGATGATGACGCGGTATCAGGAACTCCTCAAAGTATTCGACTATTACCGGATCAGCTACGTGAATGAGAGCACGCTGCTGCTTGAGCTGATCCTCATGCATCTACACATGTCTCTCGAAGAGATCCAACTTTTCTGCGGACTAGAAGATCAGAAAGAGACATCCCATATACATGCCTCGGTCAAAGAGTGGGCGAGCAGTAAGACATCTCGGTTAGCAGTCTGGCACGCTGGCCAACTTGTTCGCGCTGCAAGGGCACTTCCCCATATGCATCTCCGCGACTTCTACGCTATCTCGCTCTTTCATGCGAGTTTGACATTTTGGGCGTACGGGCTGGCATCGCGCATGTTTGTCCAGGGTCGAGGTTTGTATCCAGAAGCTGGGAGCGTGAGTACGGATATGAACCCCCCACAAGCACCACAACAAGTGATCTGTCTTGATGACGAAGAAACGACCGCGACATATCGCTACATTTCTTTGGGTAGGGGGATGCCTGCTCTGCACGGTAACCGGCCCAACATGCCGCTTACGCAATTAGACGATCTGGCGGTTGTTATGTCTACCATTATGGGAATAATGGCGAAGGGTGATTGCGATTCTTCAATGCCCAATTCGCCACTTGTGGAGAATCTACTAAATGTTATGGGACGATTAAGGGATACGGCGACTCTGGGGAGCAGCGTAGCGATGTAGCAACTGGATGTAAAAGGAGATGTTGAAACATCAAGCAAAATGAAGCATTAGCTAAGCACCTGGTGAAAGCTACTATGCATATTCATGTACGGATATATGATCAGCTGGGTAATGTGAGAGGTAGGAAGTGTTTCGCAAGGACTCATATATATCCCAGACCACCACTTGCAGCGTAAGAATCAAGACTTTGTTAAACTTTTCGCAAATCGCACGCCATAAAATCTCAGTGCGCCAATAGTTAAGACAGTTGGAATGCCAAACATGCCTAGGCCAATGAAGATACTTGTTCGAAGAACCAGTCTGCCCTCCGGTACCACGCACAGTCTTCGGGCTCAACGAAGCTGATAGATCCTTCAAACTCTTTTCAATATTGTTTGTCTGTATCCCATAGACTACCATGTACAAATTCGGAGATTGGGGACCGGGTGGCGAGCCCTATCTTCTGACTGCACTAGGCGAGCGGCAACTGACTACTTGCTGTTTATCTAGCCCATCTATACCGCCCATCGCTCCTCACGCAGCCGACAATAAGGAGAACCCGTGGCCAGTCAAAAAATGCCATATCATGCAAGTGGACTCAGACCAAACACTCCGTCCCTCGAAGCGGCTCCGCGACCTCGATAGCGTGCCCCAGTTTCCTCCCTCTCCGACCAAGAGCGTGTCAAGCGCAGCAGCATCCGAAGCCCCCGAAGTCGAATCACATCAGAGTGGACGCTTGATCCCTGTGAAATAGCCCCAGTTACTCGAAGACTTTGAAGAACAGCCCGTCTTATTTTGCAATTTCGACGACGAGGAAAGGAAGGAGCCCGAAGACGTCGCGGCGATGCGCAGGGCGACTCAGCGGTTTGCAGATGGCATTGGAATCTTGGGGTACGATGACATCAATGCGGTTGTTTCCGCCCTGCCACTAATAGATAGGATGCGGTTTCAGTATTCTTGGGCAAACGACCGGGAGCAGCGCTGTTTGCTCGGTTCAATGCCTTCGACAACGCAGATACGGGACATTGTAGAGACCGCACGACAGTACGATCATGGATCGGGCGTCTCCGAGGATGAATGGAACTCTGAAGTCCAGCATCCGCTCCTCAAACTCGCACGCAACACGTCTAAGCACCGACAGCCGCTCGACATTCATAATGTGTAAGTCCATGTCGTCCCCCTAGGCAGTCATGCACTCAATGATGTAGGAGAACGGCCCGAATTGAACGCGCATCGTTTACGCGCATCGTTTGCGCGCTCCATTCTTCCCGGCCGCGTCGTTGACTACGTTGTCGCGCTCAACCCGAGCTCGGCTACCAAGTAAGCCTGGCGGTGCCTCCGTTTGCTTCCAGGCGCATCTATAAAGTCCTAGGACCACACGACTCGGGCGCGTCACAATCCCATCGCAATCAACATTGAGACCAAAGGCCCTATGAAGTCATGGACGGACGGCAAACCCCAGATCGCGATATGGACGGACGCGTAATTGAAACGCCTCGCCCTGATCTGCGGCAATAGTACCGGGCAGTGACCCTCTCTTCCGCTCCTGATCGCCCAGGGCCACGACTAGCACTTATTGATTGTCTCGAAAAACGACCAGAAATGACCATCTGGGAGCTAGACTCCGCAACAATCAATTCAATCCGGTCACTCTCCTAGACCCACTTACCTATCTAGGTAGGGCTTAAACTCCTATAGGTAACTACTAGGCTTAAAGCGGTAATCAATCAATCCAATCTGAACCTTCTAGGACCCACTTAATTGATTGTTGCGGACTGTGCTGGGAGCAGATTGACGTTGGAAGCACAAGGTCGTGCTTTGATGCGATGAAGGTAGTGACAGCCCTCCACTGGCTTATGGATTGGGCTGAGAGGGTGCGGTGGCTGTGGCTCCTGTCATTGCCAAGCTGAGGTTGATAGAATGCATCTGACTCCTGCTTTGAAAGCATGTGAAAATCCATAGGATGACACGAAGTGTACGGCTGAGCCTGGTACCAAGATGCTGGTCCATTCTTGTGTTGCTGCCTGCAGGGTAAAGCTGCACTCGCTAGCGACTGTAATGTCTGCGCTTAGCGCCACAAAGTCCATAGTAAGACTTTTGTGTGCTGTGTAAGAAGCTGAAATCGACCATGTAAGCCACTAGAAGACAGCGTCAGGTTTCATTCCACAAATTTTGCCGCGGTTCTTGCGGGTGACGGTAAGATAATGAGGCAACCCTACGCTGACTTTGAAGCGATTATATCTTGTCACGAGCGCTTTCAGTCTTGACGGCGGCGATTTGACTTTAATATAAAGGAATACCCTCCCTCCAATTCTCCTTGCACGTGCCAGAGTTATGTCCGCGACCGACGGTACGATTCCATTCTATGCGCAACTACCTTGCATATGACGGCAGCGACATTTTATAATGCACAACAATGAATTGGGATGATTTCCAGCAAAAGGCCATCGTGGCCATTCCTAAGCAGACGTTGAAGCCTAACCGGTGCTGGATCGGGGTGCTCCACCACGAGAAACCTCCAGAGTCATCCCTTGAAGAGAGAGACTTCATTTGGATGATTGGTCATGAGGTATGTATCACTTATGTCTACAGTCTCATGCTCCACAAAGCGTTCTTGAAGCCGACACCTCATTGACATATATACAGAAGATGCCCATACAGACGGTCCAAGAAGCATATTTGAAATCACACCAAGTAATCAACTTCCGGCTCAAACATAGAGACGCTCTCGTCGATCAAAATGGCATAGTCAGATCTTACTTGCGGCCTGGCAGTGATCTTGTCTTATTCTGGGCGACGTGCGCACTGCGCAGAACAGTCCGTGGTGGGAGTTATCAAGGAATCCGCCAGTCCTACTCTCGCTCGCCAGGATCCAAAGAGTCTTGAAGCTCGCAGCAATGTATCTCCTATGACATTGCCAACGGATGGCGCGAAAACCACTGAGCCACGATCAGTGGGGCTCGCCTTGCATCGACCACAACTCAACTCACCATTTCCAATCGCCAATAAGCTATTTCCATCGCCCAGTCCAATTGATAGGAATCTGTCCAGCATCCCTAAAGATACTCCTCCACAACGTGAGGCAAATATCGATGCAATTGCGATCCCGGACGGTGCAAAAATCGAGCGATGTTCCCCACGTCCGTTCCTGGATCAACCAGCACTGCGAAGCCCTGTTACTAGTTTGGTTCAACCCGATCAAGATAACATAGTCAATCGCGAACGATCCTCAGACACGTATGGGAGTGCAATCTGCACAGATCGGCATATTAGGGCCATCCTCAATCAGCAAGATCCTGAACCACTCAGATATAGTCTCGTCAAGATGACCACACCACCTATCCATCTCTTTTCCCATGGCTCTACGATGATGCTGGGCGAAGTGTCGCGCTCCGCTGACTATTGGAAAGCCTGCGGTGATGAAGCGAATCACCACGGCTTCAAGGGGGTCATCATGATGGGCGCGCACTGGGACGCACGAGGTACAAACCGGATCAATGTATCAATGAACCCCAAGCCCGCCAAGTCGCCTGTCGCGTACGTTCACCCGAGGAAATACGTGGACTACGAGTTAAATCCCGACCTCGAAACTGGCAAAAAACGCATACAAGCACTAAAAGAAGGAGGCCTGGACGTGCGACCAAATGAGTCATTTGACTGGATTCACGACACATATCTCATCTTGATACGAATGTTCCCAGAGAGGTGCCCACCCACGAAAATCATCGGCATGAACTCACATTTCGATCCACATCTTCATGCCCGTGTTGGGCAGATCCTCGCACCCTTCCGCGACCAAGGATACCTCATCATCGGAACCGGCGGCGCAGTACACAACCTATACCGCAACCACTGGGGTCAGATGCTCAAGTATTCAGACAACCTCGCACAGCCTTACCCACCTGAGGCTCCAATGCTCGAATTTCGACAAAGTGTGGAAGACGTCTTCGTACGAAACTGCAGAGATGGGGTCAAGAAGGGGGCGCTGACAAGGGGTATCACAAGATAGATGAAGCACCCCATGTTTAGGGATGCGCATGCAACAGATGATCATTATATGGCGGCGTGTTTTGTGGCGGGCGCGGTGGATGTAAGCAAGAGGGAAGGTGATGAGTGCGTGCTTGGGGCAGAGGATTGGGAACTAGTGAACATGTGTAATAGCCAGTTCACCATTGGAAAGTGGGCACAGACGGCGTGATTTCTGAATCTTAAGTCAATGTTCGTAAAATACTGGCGCAATACTCATAGAATCTGTCCTATTCCATTCTTGTTTTTTTACTTGTTATTGTGCTCAGTGACCAAAGGCTGCTCGTACGCAATTGAAGACACTTAGAAAGTCTCAAGACTCATAATTGATCACCAAAACTGGAATCTGTCAAATTTAGGTCTCAATTGTAGAAGTTGCCGGAGCACGTTACTGATACATCGTATGAGTCGCATGTGGTTGAAGAACGTCTGTATGCTCTATGTAGGTTTTAGAGCCACCAGAAATATCTTCAACGCAATGAAATGCTGTCGTGTCCTCCTGTATTCCCCAAACTCATTTCGGCGGTACAATCGGCAACGTGACGTAATTGACAAACTTCTCGCCGAAGTGCAAATGATTGAACCCAGCAAACACTTCCTCACTCCCATCTTGAGGGTGATTGTGCTGGAAGATCCCACTTCCCTGTGTGTCCCCACTACTAACCTCGAACACGATCTTGCTCCCCTTCTCAACCACTACATTGGTTGGGCATACTTCGACATCAACTGAATAGATATCACCTGGAATGACAGGCCGTACATCAGTGCTGAAGTAGTCGCGCCAGGGTAGGTATTCGCGATGCTTAGGGTGGTTGGGATTCGTGTTGCGGAAACTGACACGTAGCCAGCCTTTCACAAGAGGTATAGGATCGCCTGCGGTACCGGTATAGTGCACTTCTTTGCCCTCTGGAGAGATGTAACGGAGTGTGAGGAAGAGATCAATATCTGAAGGGGTAGCACCAGTGGCGTATGGAGAGAGGGAGACGTTAAGGTGTGCGACGATGTGGCCGGTAATTTCGATTTCTTCGTCGAAGGGCGCAGTCGTGAACTGGAGAAGCTTGGGGTTGTCAAGAGTACCGAGCGCTTCGTAAGATAGCTTTTATGGGCGGTTTGTGATAGGTTGGATCTGAGTAAGTGACTGAGAAGGTGTGAGATAGAACTTGGTGTATCGTGTACGCGCGATGAGCCACTCGTTCTCAGTACGCCTCTTGTACGCTTTCTCCTTCTCGGCATTGTCAAAACCCACGTCGCCTTTCCTCAAAACGATATCAACTGGTGGGAGTTTGCCCTTGACAGACCAGCCCACACGATCGTCACTTTTGAGGAACGCATCGAGGAAGCTACGCTGAATCTCGACTTCTTCCTTATACAAGAAAGGTAGACCATGTCGTCCTGTGATCATTCTCAAGTACTTGAACTCCGAGCCTGCATGTGTACAGCCCTCGATATTGCCACGAAGGTGAAGCAAGATGCCTCCCCAATTTCCGACTGAAAGAAGCGGCACTTCGATACAGTACTAGGTCAAAAGTTTCGCGCGCCAACGAGCCGAGGCCTAGCATTCCCCACCACAACAAATGTTTATTGTGGCCACAACGCACCCAAATTTACATATTTTTTAGTTTTTGAAACTGCAAAATAATCCAAATAGCTTAATACTTTGTTTGCCACCCACCAGCTTTTGTACAGGCAGCTATACGTCGTGGCATAGAGCCAATGAGTCGCGTGATCAGCGGGCTGGGTATTTCACGCCAACACTTTTTCAGAACCTCACAAAATGCCTCCCACTGCTCAGCGGTGTGATCTAAGCGGCTGTACTGCGGATAATAGGCGTGAACTCGCTTTTTTAGCACCCACCACAAGTGTTCGATAGGGTTAAGATCTGGTGAATAGGCTGGCCATTCAATCGGCCGGATGTCCTTCACTCTCATAAACTCCGCCACTACACGAGCCCTATGGATAGGAGCATTAACGTGCATGAACAGCTGAGACCGTCGCCAGTGAGGTAGTAGTCCTCGCCGAAGCGTTTGGATGTAACTTTGACCGGAGTAGCCACCTTTTGCTGCATTGGGGTCCCTCTCCATAATGATCAATTCACTCCGCTGTGGGTGACCCCTTCTATCTAGCCACACCGCCGCCCACACCATCTGGGCGCGCTGACGAGCTGTTGTAGTCTCTGTGATCATCCTGTGGCTCCATTTTTCAGCTTCGTATCGAAAACACCATTCGGCGGAGGCTCCAGAACCCACCTGAACGGAGCATTCGTCTGAAAACTTGAGCGGCCGGCGGCGCCAAGGGAAGTTGCGGTACTCCTTACAGAACCTTAGGCGGGCACGCGCCCTTATACGATTCAGTTTTGGACGCTTTTTGCAGCGGAAATGGCCTAAGCCTGTCCTTTTTAGGGTCCTGTATAGCGTTGACTTGCTAGGTGTTGTAGAAGTCGTCCCATCGGCACCCACGATAGTCGCCACCTCCGCTAAGTCTTTGTACTCCAACTTCGGATTTTTTCGTGCTGCACGGTACAGGAGCTTCTCCGTATGCTTCGATAGTATATGAGGTCGTCCAGATCGAGGTTTATCATGCGTTGTGCCAGTGGTGTTGAACGCTTGTCCCTTTGGACATGGTGTCTAGGAAATCGGGCGATTGTCCAAGCCCGCGCTCGTCGGCACGAACGACAATGTAGTCGTGCTTGGTCCAAAAGCCCGGATCAGGCGTTTCCCATGCTGAGTGGTCGAAATGATGCTCTGAGTTGACTTCTAGCTGGTCAGACATTGTGTCGATAGAGGCGAGCAGTGTGTTGTTAGTTACCTGCCAGAGCTTTCTGAATATATAACAGCGATTGATACGCCTGGTGGACATCGGCAGCATGACGCGCCAACGTCGAATCGTGGTCGTGAGGGGCATGCTCGGAATGTGGGGGGATAGCGCCCTTCTTGGTACGGAATAATCTGTCCCTCGAAATGCATGTGTTCTGCTGCTATTGTGAAGAACTCGGCACCGCCATGCACGGTATACGTCCTGCTCGTCTTGGGAAATCTGGCCCTGAGGGATGCTGCCCGCACATCTCACGATCCTCCGTTTGAGGAGTTCCTCGCTTCGCCCGTCCAGCCACAGCACCGCGCAGTACCGGCGATAGTGTCAACGCTGGCCGCACTACAAAACGGCTCACTCGGGGCACGCTTTTAAGGCTAAAGATGGTGTGGCATTCGCCGAAATCTACACACGGCCTAGCTATGCAGGCTGCAAACATCGTGTTGGTAACATGCTCTCTCCGCGATGTTGCCGGCACATGCCTGGATCTGCTTGTACACCTCCTGCGTTCCGATATACCGTCGTGTGGCTGCCGCCATCTCCTTGACCTTCTTCGCCACTTCTAGCCCAATGTCCTCTAGCCCACGATCCACGTTGAACCGGTAGTACCGCCCTGTGCTGTCTAGCAGCAGCCGCTCACGCCAAAACCTCTCTGCTGTCTGCTCTGTCTGTGTCGCGATTGCCACCAGCGTCTCGTCGATGTGCAAACCGTCATTCTTGAACGGCTTGAGCGACGAGACCCCCGTCCCGATTGACACCAGGCATATCACCTTGCCCTCAAGCGGCTCTGGTCCCCACACTAGCTGCGCCTGGTCCCACATCTCCCGCACTGGGTTGTTCGCGCCTGTCGCCTCGTACACAAACTTGTCGCCAAACCTGCTCACCGCGATTGGATTGAAGAAGGACTTGGCCGCCGAGATGGCTCGGCACGCTTCCCATATCGTCACGCTGTTGAGGAGGTCGCTGTTGCCGCGTAGCGTCCTGTAGCTCGTGAGGCAGACCATCTCGCTGGTCTCCTTGCTCGTCGCGCACACAAAGCTGTAGTAGTTAGCTTACACTCTGCTAGACACACACGATCAACATACACCTTGCAACCAACTTCATGCGCGTCCTTGAGCAGTACATCCTCGGGCAAGCTGACGACCTCCTTCACCGCCCGCGGCTCCTCCGCGTCGAAGCGGCCTTGCACCTTGCCCTTGACCGTCACCCGGTGCCGTGTCTTGCGGAACACGCGGTCGGAGAGCGACAGGTACGCGGCGATGCAGTCAGCTACGCTCATAACTCAGCCGGCCGAGCATGACAGCGATTAGCCTGAAGGGTCAGCCCGCTCTACACACTTACTGCGTCTGACGTCCGATCACTTACCCGCCTGTGCTCGTCCCGCCCGATCATATCGAAGTAGTCGCACGGCTTCGGCGGCGCGTCCAGGTTGACGGCCTCCATCAGTCGCTCGAGGATCATCAGGGCAAACAGGCCGCGCACGCCGCCGCCGTCGAGGCCGTGAGCAAGCGAAGATCGCTGACGGGCATGGTGTATATGCGTTGCACGGCAGAAGTCGAGAGAGCATGGAGGTCGGGTCACCAAAGGAGTCGTCGTGTCTGGTGTACAGCCTGGTGGTTGCCTCAGCGCGTGCGGCTGAGCTGGCGCTCGCCTTACTTCTGCAGCACCCTGCACGTGTGCATATGTACATGTCTGCATCTGTGCTTGATGGATTAGGGTGGGCGAGACGGAACGGCTTGTGCAAACTGGCGGGCGGGGTTCGCTTGTTATTTTATCGCTTGTCGCCGCTGGCTTGGCTCCATCAGTTGGCTGTTCCCATCGCGACATGCCGATAGCGCTTCAATGAGGTCTCGTTAGAGTTCATACTGTAGGCTAACGCACTCTGCATGCCGCCGCTGGGGTGCTGCTGGATCCATGCGCTGATCGTGCCACGATCGGGCGATGCAAGGAAAGAAGTCGCGAGGAATGGCGTGGAAACCACTCATCACGCACCAACGCGTTGCGTTTGATCCCGCCAATCGCTGGAGCGTCACGGCAAGACTCACGCCCACAGTGCCCGCCGTGCTAGTATAGCACTGTGAAAGGGACAGCATCGACTTCGAAGCACTGATCATGGAAGTAGAAGTTGAAGGTGAGAAGGCTCACAATGCTATAGAGATGCGCCGTTGATCTAGTATGTGTTCGCTTGAGTGCGGGACGAGCAAGCCCGCAAAGTTTACGGTCATGTTCTGCGACTCATCCTTGTGAAAGCAACATGGCTCCTAGACTCGCAGCATCGCAGTACGATATGACAAAGGCCATGATAGTCTGTAAGTCTCTCTAATGTGTTGATATGGCTGCCGCAGCCGGTTGTAGCGATCGCACAATCCGCAATATACGGTCCAATCTGCAGTGCTTTGGCTCACCAGAGCGCCTTTCAATGGTGGCGGACGGCGTCGGCGTATAACCCCAGTAATGCCATATGCTCTTCGTCATAGGTTGTTGGAGAAGCCGGGAACGTACCAGGACAAAATGGCCGTGTTCTTGTACGATGAGTTCGACATTCTGGTGAACAACGCTGCAGTGAGTCGTGCTCTTGCATCTATGGGCTGGGCGAAGAAAGTCACTCGTCAGATCGCAATGGAGCGAAATGCCGATCTCCGGGATTACTACCTTCATAATTTATCCGCGTTCCAGTCGCACCAGCTCATCTATGTGGACGAGTCGGGGTGAGACAACGCACCGGCTTCAGGCGCACTGGATGGTCACCTCTCGGTGTTGCGTCAGTCAGTACAAGTCGCGCAATTCCATCGAGACGGTAGGCATCAAATCCTGCCCGCGTACACTCAGGACGGCGTGCTCTTCTACCGTGTGTTCCAAGGAACGACTGACAGCCGCATCTTCAAAGACTTCATCGAGCAGCTTCTTCAGCACTGTGGGCGCTGGCCGGAGCCAAGGTCAGTGCTGGTCATGGACAATGCCTCATTCACCATAGCGATGGCGTTCAAGAGCTGTGCCTCCGCGCAGGCGTGAAGCTAGTGTTCCTGCCGCCTTCCTCGCCGGACCTCGACCCTATTGAAGAGTTCTTTGGGGACTTGAGGCGCTTTATCGGGTAAGAAAGGCACACGATGCGGCTTCGACTGCAGCGACTGCATCTTTCCGAGAAGTTAAAGAGCTCTTGCATATTACTTCGGATGTGTTCGGCGAGATGACGTGGAAATGCTCAGAAGCCTGAATTTCCTTCCCATAGATGATGAGGGGCACGGTTTCCGTCTTATAGCTATATCTTGTGCTCATGGTGGCAGTGGTATCGGTATCGATTTGAATATCGTAAGACGTTGTCTTGAACACACAATGAGCTGATGTCTCCCTCATGGATTCGGCAAATGCTCTGATTGTTGTTTCGGGGTCGTTGTACGGTTAGTCTTTAAACCTCAGCATCTAAGCAGCAACATTCTTAGACAATGATAAACAGTACGATCAAGCGGAATGGTTTCTTCACATTAGCATTTATTGATAGTTCCCTATCCTCTGGGTCTCAGCGAGACATATCTATTAGCTGATGATACTTGGTTTACATCTTCTCATAGTGTCGTGCTAGAGCATTGGCTTTAACAACACTTTTCCCGAAAGGGGCCATCCAATGATCTCATCATGTGCACCACTTGCACCCTTGTAGAAATCGCGCCTCGTCTTTTTATCTAATCTATACCAGCTTCATTGTGGTAGCAGACGCGAGTTTCAGTTACTTCACAACGAGAATCCCGCATCGATAACAGCAATTTGGCCAGTGACTGATTTGGCCAAAGCAAGGTATTTTACTTGCTGAGCAACATCCTGTTATCGATTAGTGGTAAGAACCGCAAGACGAGATCGACACAGATATACCTCAATTGTAGCGAACCGTTTCAACGCGTTCCTCTCTTGCACCGAGTTGAGCTTCTCTTCCGAAAACTGGCGGCCCCAATCCTGCCGTTGTCAGAACATACCAATGCTTCAATACAAACACATACTGTCAGAAGAACTCCCGGTGCCACTGAGCTCACCCTAATCTTGGGTGCTGCGATAACCGCGAGGCTCCGTGAGAGATGTATTAGCGCAGCCTTGGTTACAGAATATGGCTAGACAGCTAAGTTAGAATCATTTCAATATGTTAACTCTGTTGGAGTGTTCGCGCCTAACTTACTAACGAACTCCCGCTTGGAGTAACTCCTGCTACGCTTGCAGTAGCAATGAATGCACCCTCGCTCTTCTCAAGATGCTCTCTGCAGGCTTGAAAAAGGAAGAAGTGACTTTTGACGTTCATGTTGAAGCAGCGATCCCAGTCCGCCTCATCGTCGGCCTGCTGGAGATCCGAAAAGTCTGTCACTCGCGTCCAACCTGCATTTGAAATGACTACATCTAGGTGTCCCATCTGTTGAACCGTCTCAGTGACCAGTCGGCGAATCTCATTTCGCTGGCCCATATCTGCTTTTATCGCGGCAAACTGCGGCGCGGCGGAGCCATTCACTCGCTTGCGCATTTGTGTAAGCTGTTGGACGAGGGCATCGGCTCGGGATGAATCTGAATGGAAGTTGATGACAACGGACATGTCCCCTTCTAATGCGAGGCATCTTGCAATCGCAGCGCCGAGGCCATTAGACCCTGCCGTGACGAGTGCAACCTTTGTTGCTGCGGCCGCCATGGTAGATGTTGTGCTGGATACAATACTGAATCGAAGGCTGAGGTTAGGAATACCATTGCTCTGTCCGTCTCATGATCATAGGTAATGACTGATGCATTGCGTAGGTTGGCAGTGCTAAGCTATTCTCCGGTCATACCGATGGATGGGGCATCGGGCCCACATCAAACATACCGAGGCTGATGTCCGTGTGGGCCCGACGGCTGTTTGGGCCACCCACCGAAATCGATCAACAACTTTTACGATCAATAAGTCCACCACTATGAGCCCGATTAAGGCTGCGATCGCAGCAATCAAGTCGCTTGAACCAGGACAACAATTCAGCTATTGCAAAATTGCAATTCAGTACGGTTGCAGCCGAACGTCGCTTGCTCGCGATAACAGCTATTGGGTGAGGCTCTACAGCCTCAAGTTTAACGATGGTACAGTGCACGGTCACGCAATGCGCACCCCACCACTTTTTGGGGTATCTCCAAAATGAGGTTATTGAGCCACGCACAACAGTTATTATTGTGAGATATTTTGGTGGAGTGATCTATAGACCTATGCGACAAACCTTGCTACTGAAATCTTTTCAGTGGAGCGATTTTGCGGCCACGGCTGTTGAATCTTAGTGGTGGGGTTAGGGAACGATCATGAGCGATAGGCCGACTACGACTATCTACACCGCTACGATTTTGCTTCTTTCTGGGTGCTGTAGACTGTGAAGCCTTTCGCTTGCCTGTTTTAGGTAGTTGTAGAACTTTTTGAGCGTCGCGAGCTTGTTTCTCACGCTGTTTTTCTACCCGGCGTTCAGCTACTTCAGCGTCCTTCACAGCTTTAACCCGGGCCCGCTCCTCCTTCTCTACTGCACGCCGCGCCTGCTTCTCCTCCTTCTCTTTTTGTTGTAGTAGCTTTTGGGTCTGTTGAAGCTCTCGTTTAGTCGCTTTTTCCAGCTCCAACTGCTCCTGGTAGGCCTCATTTGCGCGGTCACGGGCGTCAGCCTCTTGTTTCGATGGACTCCACCAAACCGCACCACCATGCCGCTCTATCCGCCGTGTGTATAGAGGTAGTACCTTCTGCTTCCTTGGCTTCTTCTTCTGAGTTGCTAGCTCTATTTTGGCTTCTTCTAACTCGTGTTGTACCAACTCAAACTGCACATGGAGTTGGTGGATGGACTGTTCAAGCGGGCCTAACTGATTATAACCCTCATCACCCACAACCTCCCGCAATAGAGACTTGGCCTTAAGCCAGTTTGGTGCAGTAGTTGCAGCAGTAACTGATGTTTGTTCAGGCGGCGTTGCGGGCTTAACTGGGGTTGGTGGCTTGAACTTATCAAGTACAACGTCGGCGTTGCGTGGGTGAATACCTGTAGCTGAGAAGGACTTCTCAACTAACGTTTTGGTGAAGGTAGTCACCCAAGCCGGCCAGAATAGGTTGAAGAAGTCGCTCTTATCTATAGAAACTATGCCTTGGCCTCTCTGAGTGTGAGCTTCAAGCTCTTTGGTATAGTTTCGGGCGAGCGGACTGAAGCAAACCACATCCAACGGCTGCAACGTGTGGGTGGAGTGAGGTGGACAGATCATCAATAGTATCTTGTGGGCGTCGCAGTAGTTGATGAAGGCTCTCGTTATATGGCTACCGTGACCGTCTAGGATGAGTAGGCGCCACCTTCTCCGAGCTTTTGGTGCAGTGTACCGCTCAAACACCTGTTCAAGCCACGTCAAACCCAAATCGTCGTTCATCCAACCAGTAGGTGAGGTGGTGAAGAAGATATCGTGTTTTTTGGGGTCGATTGGGGCTACCCAGCTCGCCTGAACGGCTCGGCCAGCTGCTGGATAGATGATACAAGGTGGTAGTACTGATCCATCGGCGCATACTGTCGCTAGGAGAGCTACCCACTCGCGGTTACCATCGTGTAGACTCTGCCTGAACTGCTTTTGGTGGTATAGTACCTTGTCGAAGATCCGTTTAGTCCTCCCGGTGACCCCAATCGCGAAGCCTTTCTCATCCATATTGTAGGTATTCTCAGGCAGCACGTCGTACTCAGCCGTTTTGCTGTGCAGTAGTTCAAAGTATACTCGGTACTTTTCACTAGAGTCAGCGTGGTGACGGCCAGCTTCCATAGGCGTGGTCCATGAGGTAAGAAGGTCATCGAGATGGCGGCGGAGGAACCGTGTAACCCAGCTCTCAGAAGGTGGCCAGGCACACAGAGGCGTCACGAAATTAATCACCATCTGCCTTGTAGGCGATAAGTGCCGCCTGTGAAGGCCTTTAATATACTCTACAACCTCTACCTTATCGCGTGGATGGATTAGTCGTTGTTTGAGTGCCTGGTCGTCACGGGATGCGATTTGACCTCGGTGTCGGCGCGTCAACGTTGATCGGCAACAACCGTGTTTTTTGGCAAGTGCTTGGTAGGAAAGTTTTGCTCCTGGTCTCAATCTGTCTACCTATGTAAGGGCTTCTTGTATAGGCATGGTGGTGTTGAGTTGTAGTAGGTTTAAAAACGGAACGGATTATGGTGGGGTGCGCATTGCGTGACCGTGCACTGTATTGGTGTTCGGGTGGCCCAAACGGCCGTCGGGCCTCGGTAGCCGATCCTCAATGTTCACTCCGCACGGCGCATATACAAGGAATAAAAAGCACTTGCCTATAAAGTCGCTTGAGTATAACTACAATACATACTTCTCTTTCACGTAACCTCAAATTGTATCAATCGCAAAAATCGTACATCACAAAACGATTCTGCCATGCCCCAACAAAACGAACAACTTCTTGACAACGGCCTTCGGCCCCTCTGTCGTTACATCACCGACCACGACTCGAACGGCAAAACCAGATTCTCAGAAGTTGTACCCGACCCCTTGAAATGGCAACAAATGGCAAATGGCGCTCGATTTAGTCTGGCATACGCAACGGAAGAGTACCCGGTCAATTTCACTGATAACAAGGATCTGGAAATCTATCAAAAAAATCTCGTTGATCTTCCCGGGATCATTATTCCTGGGGGAACTGTCTTGCGTATGGTTGACATACACCCTGGATCGATATCGCCAATGCATCGCACGATTAGCTGTGACTACGGCGTTGTTATTGAGGGCGAGGTGGAGCTGATTTTGGACTCGGGGGAAAAGAGATTGCTGAAGCGGGGCGATATCACGATTCAAAGGGGCACGAATCACGCTTGGAGAAACCTTAGTGATACGAAATGGGCGCGCATGTTGTATGCACTTCAAGAGTCCCAGCCGCTGCTGTTTAATGGCAAGCTTCTGGACGAGGATTACGGCGATGGAATGGACGATGTTAAGGCATCTAAGAAATTGGCAGGACTGCGCACAGCTGCGTGACGGGTCTGGAAGAGAAAATCGTGCATTGAGAATACCATGAATATTTCACTAGCGATCGACAAACCGTTCGTGGGAGATTTGACTTTGACTCGATGACGCCTAAGTTCCTCAGTTTTATCAAGATATAGATCAACAACTATATCTTAAGAACGTTCTCTACCATGTTTAACGTCGTCAATATTTGGGCCCACAATGATGACTTCGTCTCTTTCGAATCAATGTATAACACTTCAATGTCTCCTATTGTACCCTTCTCGGGTATAATGCGCTGTCAATACCAGTGTCTATCGTTGGCATCAATTCCGCCGGTGGTCCCGCTGCCGGTGTCATTCCCGAGTCGATCACCCCGTCAGCTGCAGCGGCCTCGGATGGCTAGCAGATGGCGCCTCCACCGGAACGAAATTAATCATCCTTTGCAGCTTGATTGTTCTAGACTATGAATGCGAGTCTAGTCTGTATGCTCCGGAGCTTGCTAGATTGGGGGTGGAGCCGAACCAGCGGCAGTCGGCAAAGAATGCCCTCCTGAGCACCATGCGAGTACACAATCAGAATGGTGGTCATAGAAATAGGAGCAAATTCATAGACCATAAAGTCTTCGTTAACTCAGAAATTGTCCTTTGCGTGCGCATATCTAAATCCTCGGAACTTTGTATTCCAAACTACCGAACTGCTTGCCATGGCTCCTAGATATCTAAAGAAAGGGTCAGCAGCCGAAAACTCTACTAATACCCTCTCTCTTGAAGTGGGTTCCATTGTCAAAGAAGTCATCGACGACATTCGGCAGAATGGCGATGATGCTGTTCGAAAATACTCGGGAAAGTTCGACAAGTGGTCGCCGCAATCGTTCAAGCTGTCCAAGGAACAGATCGACGCTGCGATAACTGCAGTTCCAAAGCACACGATAGAAGATATCAGGCAGGTGCAGGCAAACGTCAGGCAATTCGCTCAAGCTCAGAGAGATTCTATTCGCGATTTCGAGCTCGAGACACAACCGGTAAGCAGGAATTACCTGGGCACCCTACCCACAGCATTTGACAGATCCTAGGGCGTGTTTTTAGGTCAAAAAAATGTTCCTATTGCAGTTGTTGGAGCGTAAGTTATGTGTTCGTGGTTTTGCCCAGCGGGTGATTGACTGGCAGTAGATATATCCCTGGTGGTCGATACCCCCTTTTGGCATCGGCACACATGACCATCCTTACCGCAAAGGTCGCCGGTGTCCCGCATGTTATAGGTGCCACTCCACCCATCGCCGACCAAATACCAAATTCTACTGTGGCTGCAATGCATATGGCTGGGGCTGACGAAATATTCATTCTTGGTGGTGTTCAAGCCGTCGCAGCTATGGCCATTGGGACAGAGACGATTCGCAAGGTTGACTTCATCGCCGGTCCTGGCAATGCTTTCGTAGCAGAAGGTAAAAGACAGCTATTTGGAGAGATCGGTATCGACCTGTTTGCTGGACCAACTGAGATTCTCATCATCACCGACGAAACAGCCGATCCCTTTACTGTTGCAACTGATATCCTTTCCCAGGCAGAACACGGCCCGGACTCGCCGGGAATCATTCTCACAACTTCTGAGGAAGTAGGACGAAAGGCAATAGCGTTCATTGACGAACTGCTGAAAGAGTTGCCGACCGCGCCGCTAGCAGGAACATCATGGAAAGCATATGGAGAAGTAATCGTGGTGGACTCAATAGACGAAGCATGGAAAGTGGCCGACGAGATTGCGAGCGAGCATGTTCAGGTCTTCACCAGGAACCCAAGGGATGCATTGGAAAAAATGTCTGCATATGGCGCTCTGTTCTTGGGTGAGAACACCTGTGTGTCCTATGGTGATAAGGTATGTCTTTATTTGATCTACCAATGCTTTTTCCTAATATCTTGCTTTTAGTGCATTGGAACAAATCATGTTCTCCCTACAAGGAAAGCGGCAAAGTATACTGGTGGACTATGGGTCGGCAAGTTCTTGCGAACTTGCACCTACCAGGAAGTCAAGAACTCAGAGGCCAGCGGAGAGTTGGGTCGTCTTTGCGGAAGGGCGGCCAGGGCAGAGAACTTCGAAGGCCATGCCCGTTCGGGAGATCTAAGAGTGCAAAGGTACTTGAAGGATGAGTATAGCTGGATCAGAAAAGCCGGAGGACCTTCGGTGACAAAAAGGGCGATGATCTAGGAAGAGTTGAACATTTGTATGGACTTCATAGTGTATCACATCCTACGATTTACTTTCGTCTCGTTACAGAAGTATAATATTTCTTCCTATAATATTCTTTTGAAACAAGTGCTAAAGCTCCACATAAAACTCAACCCAACCCCTTGGTGTGGACGGTGAAGCAGAAACCTCCAAGAGCATCAATTTTATGAACATATATGGTCTTTGTTGAGAATACAGTCCGTAAGTGACTTGGTGGTATCAAGCGGAGGAGTAGTCACATGATTGGTGACACGTGCAGGTGGGTCCTAGCGGGGAGCTTGGACGCAGCTGCACGCAACACGGATCTACGAACGTGTGAATAGCTCCTTAGTCAATACAATACGAATCTGTACCACCACTACCGTTGTGCCTTAGAGAGCGCTCTATTAGGTAGTCATACTACTACTAATAGTGCCAGCTTCTCAATAGTCTTCGTTATATGATCGCTTATGAGGTTCACGCATCAAGTCATTTGTAGGTGCACAGCAACCATCTCTACACACTGCTGACTCAACCAGTCCAGCGCCAAGACAGAGATCCATCATTCGATCCTTTAGATTTGGACTGAACTGCTTTCTGAAAATGGGCCAACCTTCCGTGAGTCAGGGTGGCGGAAGTCCAACTTAAGGTGGAGCTAATGTGGTCCCGATTCTTGCCTCCACTTACCCTGCCTTTCGCCCCCACTTACCCTGCCTCTTTCCCCGCAATCCCTCCACCCGCTTATCCCCGGGTAGTGACCCGTGGTATGGCGAAGAAGCGAATCAACTACCGCAGGTCAATTACCGCGCAATGGATTTGTGGTATGATAGGCTCTAAATTGAGTCTCAAAGACACTTTTAATTGAGAGCTGCCGTCTGCTAACTCGGACGCCTCTACCGAGAAGCCTGGTTTAACATCACACGATTATCTAGCATTCGCCTGAAGCAAGATGACGACCTTGAACGAAGCAAACGGTATGACTGGTGGACACAACGGCGCACCGCCGAACACAGCATTGAAGGTGTTGGTAGTAGGTGCTGGAATCGGCGGGTTGACGGCAGCAATCGCGCTTCGAAAAGAGGGACACGATGTACAGGTATGTCTGAACCTCCCTGGCTCTTAGAATGCGTATACTAAAGGAGAAGTAGATACTCGAGCAATCAGCTTTTGCGCGTGAGGCTGGTGCTGCCATACACCTGACACCAAACGCAAATGGCGTGCTTCGGCGCCTTGGAATATTCGCAGAGTCTTTTGGAGCAAATTGCATGGCCAGGGTGCGTCAGATAAAGACCATCGCACGGAATACTCGAGACTAACTTTCAGTTGCAGTTGACCGAGTATACCTCAACAGGAGAGAAGCAACGCTCCATTGACCTGCAGGAACCCAACAAGCAGTGGCAGCACGTAGGTTGATCCTCTGTGTAGTGCACAATCCGTGCAAATGTATTACTTACATTGTATTACAGCCCTGGCATCTTGCTCATCGCATTGACCTGCATAACAAGTTAAAACTTGCAGCAACAGATCCCCACGGAAGAGGGTCAGTCCAACTTTACACATCCAGCAAAATTGCGAACGTGGACCCTGCATCAGCCACTGTCACTCTCGAAAATGGAGCCCAATTCCAAGGCGATCTTGTTATCGGAGCAGACGGAGTGCACTCGGTGGCCAGGAAATCTATCCCAGGAAGTGACGTTAGGCCGTTCGGCAGTGGGGAGAGCGCTTTCCGCTTCCTCGTTCCTCGTAAGCTTGCGGAAGAAGACCTCATGACACAGCAGTTCGTCCAGAATAACGGAGAGCTTCTTATCTGGTACGCGAATGACCGTCGTATCATCATGTATCCGACTTCCAATAACACCGTTCTAAATTTCGTCTGCGTCCACCCAGAGGCAGAGACTGAGGAGCAATCAGGCGAGAATTGGGACCAGGCCGGCGACCTTGATTTGCTGCTTAAAGTCTATTCAACCTTCTATCCAGCGGTTCTGAAGTTGCTGGGCAAGGCGGAGCCTGGAAGTATCAAGGTTTGGAAGCTTCTAGACATGGATGTCATTCCAAGTTGGACAAACAAACGTTTGGCACTCCTGGGCGACTCCGCTCATCCATTCTTACCGCACCAAGGCCAAGGCGCTGGGGCTGCCATCGAAGATGCCGCGGCACTAGCAGTGGTTCTTCCCATGGGTACAAAGCCAGAGGAAGTCGCAGAAAGATTGAAGCTATACCAAGACATCAGAATGGAAAGGGCTAATAAGATCCAGGAATATTCACGCCTTGCTGGCAGAGAATTGGAGAGTCAGGTAAATGTCGACAGTAAGCTTGCAGCCTCCCCGAGCGAACTTCATGTTTCGACTAACGCACCTAGTGTACGGCTTCACAAACTACAACTTTGGCCATGACGAATACGACAACTCAACGCAACGGTTCCGTGAATGGCAGTGGAAGCTTATGCCAAACCCATATTGGCGGATGCCAATTGCCTTCGGTCCCATGCCTGGCCCTCGTCAAACACATCTTGGTGTGCCCCGAAATGGTAACGATTCAACATTCACAACTGCTTCCATCAAATTCAAGACTTCGCGGACACTTCTCCAAAATCTGTTCCCACCCGGTCGGCGCGGCTGGCGCTTCAAGAACCCCGGTACCGTTGCATATGCGTCATTCTCTCAGACCACTCTGAACAAAATGGAGTGGCTCGGCGGTTCGGGGTACAACCACATCGGGCTCTACATCCATGGAGTAGAATACGAAAAGAAGGATGGCAGTACTGTTGACGGTTCCTATCTGCCTGTTCTTTTTGAATCCTTGACAGATCCCATTGTCTCAGGACGGGAGGAGCTCGGTATGCCTAAGCTCTATACCTCGGTCGATATCTATCGCCGCTCCAATTCATACCGCATTCGCACTGGATGGGAAGGTGCCCTCTGGGGCGAGTTTCATCTCGAAGACCTTGCCGAGGTAGACCCTTTGTCCGAGAAAGGCGCCATCAGCGGCGAGGCAGATGCCGGCATTTTGGCATACAGATATATTCCGAAAACTGGTTTCCGGAACAAGGGCATGGCTGCGGAGGAACATGCCGTTTGGGATCGGTTTGATGCAGCGACGACAACACCGAAACCACAAAAGATCTACAAAGCGGGCAAGGCTAGCTTCAAGATCGATCCCTTGAACTGGGAAGAATTGCCAACGCTGCATCACATAATTTCAAGATTAGCTGAGCTGCCCGTGTATGAAGTTGTCAGCGCAAAGGTAGTCGAAGGTATGGGGGTTCCTGATGTTTCTACAGCAGGGCCAATAGAGTAGGCAGTGTAATAGCTTCAATGTCAAACCCTATAAACTCCTGTTTGCTGCTGTATTATATCCTTAGAATTGGAGGCCTTAGATGCCCTCTCTATTTCTTGTTTGTTTATGTGAGAACATGGAGTGTGCGAGAAGTATGAGAGCTGTGTGTATTTTAAGGAGAGTAAAGCTCTCGACTATCTGCTATGTCGAGGAGAGATCTAACTGTATAGAGTAAGGATTGTGTATGCTGATCATGTGATTGGGCAACATATTGCCTTGTTATAATCGTTATAACCGTTAACGTGTTCAACCATCTCTCGGGTCACCCCACCTGTCAGGTCATCCCATGAGAATCAGCGCGATTCCCAGGACGACTACTCTACAACCATATGAGACAACAGGATGAAATTTGTATACTAATTCTCTAAATACTACTGCAACTGCGCCTGGTGTGTTCTTGTACGTGACACTAACTACATGTTGGTGGTCGGCTTTTGGTCACCCTCCTGGACATACTTGTCAACGAGCGAGCCGGCTCGCTCAGCTCGCTCGGCTTGGACGTTTTGACCAAGCCGAATGAGCTGAGCGCGCAGTGCGCGCTTGCAAGCCGAGCGAGCTTAGGGATAGGCGCTCGCTCAGTCAGCTTGCTTAGCTTGGTTGGATAGGGCGGTTGGAAACTTGGGGCTGAAGGACTTGGTGGAGGGGCAATCTCACGATGATTTTTAGGTGTAGTGCGTAAGTTCGAAACCTAGTTATAACCTAAAATACACTCTTTTTTGCTATATTTCTAGCAAATAAGCTACTAAATTTCCGGCTAACGGCCTGGCAACAATATTCTCCTTCTGCGACACTTCACTTACTACTTATCACCCACCACACTCACCTATACTCCATCAACGCGTCTCTATTTGCAGCTACTATCTACCTCGCCGTTGCTATAATGCCAGCAAAAAGAACACGCGTTAATGCTCCAGAAATCGCGGCAACTTTATCAACAACTTTATTGAGCCTGCAGGGCTTACGGAGAACGAGGAAGATGAATATGAGGCTTGGAAACGCAGCGAACCGATCGCTGGCGAGGGCGTCGACCCTATAAAATACTGGGTAGAACTCCGCGATCGCCACCCTAGCCTTAGCAAATTTGCTATCGACATGCTATCAATCCCAGGCTCAAGCTGTGAGTGTGAGCGCTTATTCAGCGAGCTGGGTGACCTCCTCGAGCCCCGTCGGCGCAGCATTTCTCCGCAACTTCTAGCAGCAATACAGTGCGATCGACGATGGATAAGAGCTGGATTTGGCAGTGGTGAGGTGCCTGTAAAGGGGGTTATCAGCGATGAGGAGATGGACGCGAAATACGGTGTACATAAGTGGGATATTAGCTGAGAAACTCAACACCAAGGTTTCTATATAACTTTCCTAATCGGGACTGAGCCCATCAAGCCGAGCGAGCTGACAGCCCTGTTTCAGCCAATCCGAGCGAGCCGAGCGCAGAGTTGCTATCAGTCAGTTCAGTCAGTCCGGAGCTCTCTGGACTGACTGAACTGACGTCCTGAGGTCACTGAACTGGACTGGACTGACTGCCAAGACTTTTCAATTAAACTAAAACTGACTGACTGAACTGACGTCGCCGCGGCCTGCGGACTGACTGGACTGACTGAACTGAGTTACCTGACGTCGAACTGAGATAAATGCTCCTGTACTTTTGAGATTTCTTCCTCTGATAGTGTGCGCGCTAGCCCAGAAGCTGAGGTAGTTGTTGGCTGTATACCAAGCCTCTTCCAGCTCTTCAAGCTCTGCAAAGCTGAAATAAGCTCTGGCTTCATATGGAGTCTCCGGGTGCCTAACATGTCGCCAAGCTCGCTGAAAGTCCGCTCACAGTCTGCCGCTGCTGCTGGTATTGTTAGGACGTCAATAGCGAACTTTGAGAGTATAGGGAACTGCCCAGCAACTGACTCCCAGTATAGAAGCGGATTAAGAGACAGCCAATCCTCCTCAGCTAACGCTGGTTGCCGCTTCCATATCTCATACTCATCCTCAGCAAGGCTTGCCTCTAACTGCCGTGTGCTTTGCTCAATTGACGACTGTAGAAAAGCTGATCGCGACGTTGAAATCCCTAGCCGGGGCTTCTTACGCGGCGGCGTTACAGTGTGAGCTGAAGTGGCTGCAGAGTCCTTCCGCCCCTGCCACATACGCAGGAATGCCCGGTGGTTATTGTCAAGCCAGCCGTCGCGATAGTGGACACCGTCACGGGCAGTGACATGGGTGTCAGGCACCTTCCAGAGCGCTGAGAGGTGGTGTTTGTAGTGCGGGTGTAGTATTGTAGCAGTGTAGTAGACAGGCGCGTTATCGAATTTTGCGTAGTACTCAGCAAGCTTACAATGCGCAAGGTTAACGTTTGTAATAAGATGATCTTCAGGCGCATCTAGATCTTCGTAATTTACATCCTTAAGGCGGTCTTTGAGAGCCTCAAGCTGGTCAAGAAGCCACTCAAACGTTACTAGAACTTCCCATATAGCGCCGTGTCGGCCGTGTCGGCCGCGACCTTCAAGTAGCCGTGTAGCTTCGGCAAATGGCTCAAGGAGTCGAATGTATTCTGTTATTGTCGCCCAGTCCTTGCCGCTTAGACCCCCTTCGCGTATATATAACCGTGGCTGGGCAGCAGGGAGCTGCTCACGATTCTTCCGGCGTCGTGAGGTTGCTGTTGCAGCACTATGCTCCTCAAGTTTACACTCAATATAGCCATCGATAGGGCCGTGTAGCTCAGCTGCACGGACAAACGTGTTGAAATAGCTATTCCAGCGTGTCTTAACAGGCTTCACAAGCTGCCGGATGTGGGGTGTAACACCTAGAGACTCTGCCTCCTCGCACTGTAGGCGCTCTAGTAGTTGTCGAGTTTGAGGCGTACAGATAGACGCAATCACGTCAAAGAGGACGCCAACAGGACCGTATTTGCGCCACTCATCCATGTACTTCTCCTCTTCCTCAAGGTGTGCGGCTTCATTCTCGTACGCGCTACGGTCTTTGCCCCAAATTACTAATTGTGCGCTTAGGTTGAGTATATGGCAGCAGCACCGCAGCCGCCGCTCGCTTGCGATAAAGCCAAACTCCTCTGCTAAGGACTCAACTGCAGTATCATTGTTACTTGCGTTGTCAAGCACAAAGTACCCAACCCTCGCGTTGTCAACGCCAAATAGCCGAAGTATTGTTGTTGCTGCAGCGGCAATATTATTGCCAGTGTGCGCCCCGTGTAGCTCAGGCAACCCAAGCAGGTGGTCAACTAGCTTGCCCTCGCTGTTAAGGTAATGTACGCAGAGGCCAGTAAAAGCATACTGCCCACCAGTTGAAGTCCAGTTGTCGAATGACACGTGTATAAGCGACCGGGCTTCGCGAAGGTAGTTGGCAACAGCTAGTATGTATGTATTGTACTCAGTAATAATATGATCGTGGAGCGTTTAGTGGCTACGCCAAAGGAGAGCTTCGGCTAGCGGGCTCACGGCCGCAATCATGGCTCGAAACTGCGGCGTTTCTATTACGCGAAGGCTCTGGTTGTCCGCGACTACCCAGTCCTTCAGCGCGGCCTGAAATCGAGAGGTTGAAAAGCTTGCTGCTATCTCGTTTGCTACCTCTTGCGATACTTCTATCCCTTTAGACCTCATAATATATACTTGGGACTTTGCGAGCGCGCCCATAATATTGCCCTCCCGGCTAGCAATTGGTACAGGTCCGTTATTGTGGTTTTCGAAATACCTTGAGCCGCCTGGATCTGGTTAGCTTGGTGCCCAAGAACATCAACTCCCATAGTAATTTGTTAGTAAATTAATGCAGCAGCCGTTTCCCACCTCCAGAAGCCCATGAAGCTAGTCCTGTACTCTAAATCGTTCGTGTATAGCGTTTTGTTTGTGTGGAGCTTGTTGCGAGCTCAATCTAGCTGCTGTTGGGATGCCGCCCAAGCGCCAGCGTAAGCCGAAGCAGCCATTCGATCAAGGCGTTAACCCGTCCTCCCAGAAGCGTAGAGCGCCAGCAACTAGACAAAATCCTACCCATTTAACGCCTAAACGTGTCCGCCGTGAGGCGCTGCCGTCGCCTCCAGCGACTGCCCCGCCGCGCCGTCAAAGCCCGTTGTCCGAGCCTGAGCTGCAAGCCACCCAAACAGCTGCCTCCGCGCAAGCTGAAGATATCGTTGGCGAGGATGAGGATACTTTCGAGGATGGAGATGGCGATCCGCTGCCTGAGGATGAGGATGAGATCGCTGCTAAGGGCGCTGCCGGTAGTGTTGAGGATGAGGGAGAGCCAGCGTACCGACGTCAAGAAGGCACTCCATGGCTGCCTCGCTCATCGCAAGCGCTAGAGGATGAGGTTAATCCTGTACTGCGCGTTAGGTGGAGGGCTTGCCTTGGTGGTGATATGGAGAAACACTTTATTCCTGAAGCTGCCGATAGCGAGCACGGCGTACGGCTGTACTCGCTGCATTTCGACGACCTATGGCAGTGGGTAGATGACGTTGTTGCAGAATTACGGCCAAAAAGAGCGAAGATCTCATCTGTTTGCACTGTTGTTTACCCAGCTAAGCAGGCCAAACGCGAGCGCGCGATAAAGCGATTGCGGCGAGGTGTTGATGCAACGTGGAATAGCTTTCAGCGCCTTGTTGTAGAGGTTGATAACTATGTCAGCGAGCCAGTAAACGTCGATTTCGAGCTCATCTTGGCTGAAATTCCAGGGGAGCAGCAGCCGTTGCCAACGGTTGTCGACGGTCCTCGTCGACGCACCGCAACGGTGATTCAAGAGGAGGGGCTTGCTGGTGTAATAGCAGCTGAACAAGCAGGTAGCGGGCATGCTATTGCTATCCGGGATAGATGGCGCTGTACAGATACCCATTGCGAGAACTATCCTTATTGCTGCTGGATGGCGCCAACAGCGAGGCAGCCAGCGCGCTTCGAAGATCACCTCTTTGTCAACGGCAACATTATCTCCATGTGGGCAAGAGCAATTACAGCGAGAAGGGCAACGTACGATGAGCCATC